TTTTTTTTTTTTTGCTGTCACAGTCCAAGTATTTGACATCTAGTTTCAGCCACAGTCACTGTTTTATGTACCAATCTCAGTTTGCATTTCAAAAGCTACCCAGCCAGTGTGGTAACATAGGGAATGCAAATGGAAAAAGCAACTTTGTCTTTTGCCATCTCCTGTTTTCTTCAAGAGTTTATCTGCATATGGTCTAACAATGCAAGTAACGTTTTTTTTCTCTCTCTCTCTCTCTGTCCTCCTCCCCCTCCCCCCCTCCAGTTTATTTGAAACCCTCCAGTCACTGTTTTGGTCTGTTTTTGGACTTATCAACCTTTATGTAACTAATGTTAAAGCAAGGCATGAATTCACTGAATTCGTTGGGGCCACCATGTTTGGAACATACAATGTCATATCGCTGGTTGTGTTGCTCAATATGTTGATAGCCATGATGAACAATTCCTACCAACTCATTGCTGTAAGTTCCTAGTTTTCCTTCGTGCTTATTTTGAAAGTAATTTCTGTCAGTTCACTAAAATGTCAGCCTCTAGAAAATAATCAGAAAGGCATATTTACAAGATGAGGTGCACCTTGATATGGTCTAGCCTCTAACAAAGCAGGAATGAGCAACTGAATGTTCCTGCAAGTGCTGGAATTCCAGCTATTTCTGCAGCAGGTGCTAAATAGAGTAAGAGTAGTTTTACACACTGTTTGGCTTTTAACACCTAATACACAATACTGGTACTAAATTCAGCCCCCAATTTAACCTCTAGGGGAAGAAAACACATACTTGCTGAGAGTTCCCATTTCCAAAACATGCCAAATTATGTAAAAGTCACTGTGGATTTTTTCCTAACTAGTCAACTTCTTCTTCAATCTCAACATCTTTTCTGCATAAATTTGCTTCTCTTCTGGATGTTCCAGCTCTAGTATCACCTGGTTTCTTCCCTTGCTCTTTACTGTATGGGCAAAAAAATGTCATGTATGCCTCTGTCATCTTCTTTCCTCCTTTTAATATATTTTGCTCTATCTGTAGTTTCTTTCGCTTCTTTTTCTGCTACACTCTCCCATATGCCATCCACTGAGCTTGCCTAACTTGTTTTACCTATTTTAGAGGAAATAAACCCCATCCAACACAGGCTGCATCCCTACTTTTGACTTTACCTATTTTAGAGGAAATATAACCCCACCCAGCACAGGCTGCATCCCTACTTTTGATGGTAAATTTTTAGCTGAGAATGAAATTACGTCAAATGAACCAGACTCTTGCAAAAATTGTTTGGAAAATAAACTCAGCTACTCTATTCCATCCCCTTCTCAATTTTTCCGTTTTCTACAACACCGAATAATTACCGACCAGTTTCTACTATTCCATTCTTGGGGAAGGTACTGGAGCAGGTTGTGGCTTCTCAGCTCCAGGGGATCCAGAATGAGATGGATGATCTACATCCATTTCAATCTGGCTTCAGGCCTGGTTATGGGATAAAAATTACTTTGGTTGCCTTGGTCAAGGACCTATACCAGGAACTGGGCAGGGGGAATATATCCCTGCTGGTTCTGCTGGAGCTCTCAGTGGCATTGAATGCCACCAACCATTGTATCCTTCTGGCCTGTTTCCCTGGGATGGGACGTGGAGGTGCTGTTTTACTGTGGATCCAGTCCTTCCTATCCTTCCTGGAGGAGAGAACTCAGAAGATGGTGCTGGTGGATTCCTGCTTGACACTCTAGCCACTGGAGACCAAGACAATGGAGTTTGTGGGTTTGGTGTCATCATTATGCAAAGGACACCCAACTTTATCTCTTCTTGCCATCTAAATCCAAGGAAGCTGTTTCAACTCTAGGTCAGTGTTTGAAATCATTAATTGCCTGGATTAAACTAAAACTTAATCCAGGTAAGACAGAGATGCTCCTGATTAGTCAAAAAGCAGATCAAGAAGGTATAATTTCACAACACATTTCTATTGCACCTTAAATCGTGTTTATGTTAAATTCATCACTGATCAATAGCAAATGGCTCCCCTAGTCAGTTTTTAGATGTTTTATTTTATTCATTTTCTTGATTAATAATACTTTAGAAATATTTTTGCAAGCAGCTTACGATAAAAAAAATCTCACACATATAATCACAATAATGTGTTGATTAAAGATAATTCATGTAAGATAAAAACAAAACATACCAGCATTCAAATCAAAACAAACAATGTAAAATTGCAGAGATTAATCCTTAAAATGCCTGATGGATTTTTTTTTTTAAAAAAAGAATCCACATTTAAAAACAAGAAGAGGAGTTGAACAGACTTCTCCAGTATAAAGGCAGGACTATTTCTTGTTTCCTATGTTCAGGATCATGCAGACATTGAATGGAAATTTGCCCGAACAAAACTTTGGATGAGTTACTTTGAAGAAGGCGGGACTCTGCCCACTCCTTTCAATGTTATACCCAGTCCAAAATCTCTCTGGTACCTGATTCGATGGCTGTGGAGACAACTGTGCAGGAAAAAGATTAGACGGAAACCGGAAAGTTTTGGGACTATTGGGGTAAGTTAGATAATGTAATGTAATTCATCATGCTGCATTTTGATTCAAACAAAGAGGCAATCATGCTTTTGTAATTCTGTTTTGGTGTATTATTTTTTTGTAATGGCTGGGAGGAGAAATCTTGGCATACAAGTTTTTATACTAAACAACACAAGAACTTTCCTCCTCTGGCTATACTCTTTCTCTTTCTCTCTCTCTCCCCCCTCTCCAAAGGTTTCATAAGTTTGCATCTCCAATCAGGACTATTTGCATGAATTTTTCCAAGGGTAGGGAGGAAGTGCGAAGCTGCATTACAATATATTGCCATATTTCATCTGGATAGAGTACATCAGCATATCTGACCGTCTACATCAAAATAACAGCCAGAACCTTGTTCCTAAGTGCTACATTGCTACATTCATAAAGTAAATTGCGGAAGCAGTGTGTGCTAGAAGTTGTGGTTCCAAATTGCTCTATGAGTAAAAAAGACCTCCCACTGCAAATATTTGTTTCCAGTTGACGCCAGGGTGACGTTGACAGGATTAAATGCAGCTCATTCTCTTGATCTTGCATATTCTCTTTATATAATTCAGATACCTGCAAAAGACTTCTGTGTTTGAAAGAAAGGGTGGTTTGTGTCTACTGGGCACTTATGTGTGGCATCAACAAATGCAGTTTTTCATATCTTCAACAAAAATCTGCAGAACCGTTTGTTGGCCTGCTGAATCCCACCACTGGTTGTGTCTACTGGGCACTTATGTGTGGCATCACTTGGTGTGTAAGAATAAAACAAATGCAGTTTTTCTTGTCCTCAACAAAGAAAGACAATGTTCTCATCTTCATCACATTCAAACACCCTGATGAAAAAAAATAGTCAACTGATGCCAGTTTTTAGTTGTGCACAACATACAAGTATGTTTTTCATCAACAACACTATTAGCAAAAGGAAGAAGGGGGGGGACACCCAAAACTTGCATTTTGTGTTAGCAAAAATCCTTGCATTTTCTACCAAAGAAAGAGAGTCATTTTTGATGCAAAATATAAGATTTTTGCACAAAAGCACTTCTGGAACTTTTCACCAAAAAGTGCCAAAATGCAATGTGCAGAAATCTTTCTTATACGATTAACCTGCAGAAAGGATATTTTCTAATTTGTGTGTGTGTTCTCACCTATGAGAATAAAATAATGAAAAATTTGCATCCCTAGTGATATGTGTGCTTCTCTCTGTACATAAATGTGCTTAAGAAAGAAATGTCAGAGTTTTCTCTACCATTGATTTACCAACTGAGACTGACAGCAGCCATAGTTCTTTACTACCTCATTGACTAAAACTAGTTTTATCTGGCAGTAGGTAAAAGAACGTTATGCCAGAAGCTGTGCTGTTGTTCTTCAAATGTATAGTACCTCATATTCTTTTGTCATTCCCCTGGCAGATTTTAAAACTTTAAAGTTAAAATCCCTAATTTGCAGTCATTTGAATGTGGAGTTATATTTAAATAGATAGATCATTTCTTTATATAGAAAGTAGTTTGGACTCCTTGTACCCAATAACTAGTTACTGATAGCTCATGGTTTAGCTATCTCGCTGTGGAGCCGAGGTAGCTCAGCTATCTCTTCCCCACTGTGGTTCCTGCAAGTACAGCCAGCTTGGTTGGCCTTGTGCAAGCTGCATAGTCCCAGGGCGCCCTCAGAAGAAGGGAAGGGGAAGCCACTTCTACCAAGAAAACCCTGAACAAGGGTCTCCATAAGTCAAAATCGACGTGGCAGCAAATGGGGATGATGATCCACTGGCTTCCATTTTCAGCTAAGTTGTGCTGAAAATGCAAATTTGAAAATTTTACTTCAGTGTAACTGCTTCAGTGTAGTTCATCAAGATCCCAATTAAATAAGAGAGCACAAATCACGGGGTGTCCCATCATCCTGTGGTTGGCAACATAGGTCTGCCCTGGGCCGTTATTTTGCTGCTAATGCTGCTTTCAAACTCACATTTAACGGTTGATTTATATGGCAGACTCTTTATAGAAAGAAAGAGAGAGGGAGAGAGGAGAGAAGGAAGGAAGGAAGGAAGGAAGGAAGGAAGGAAGGAAGGAAGCTACCTACTACCTATTTTGCTGTTGCTGCTGCTGTTGTTATGTGCCATCATGTTGTCTTGACTTACAATGACCCTATGAATGAGGGATCGCCAAATCTCCTGTCCTCATCAGCCCTGTCCAGCACTTGTAAACTCAAGACAGTGGCTTTCCTTTATGAAGTCAGTCTGCGTTTGACATTCCTCTTCTGCTGCTGCCTTCAACTTTTTCCATCATTCTTGTCTTTGCCAGAAAAAGGAAGGAAGGAAAGAAGGAAGGAAGGAAGGAAGGAAGGAAGGAAGGAAGGAAGGAAGCTACCTACTACCTATTTTGCTGCTGCTGCTGCTGTTGTTATGTGCCATCATGTTGTCTTGACTTACAATGACCCTATGAATGAGGGATCGCCAAATCTCCTGTCCTCATCAGCCCTGTCCAGCACTTGTAAACTCAAGGCTGTGACTTTCCTTTATGAAGTCAGTCTGCGTTTGACATTCCTCTTCTGCTGCTGCCTTCAACTTTTTCCATCATTCTTGTCTTTGCCAGAAAACCTTGCCTTCTCATGATGTGCCCAAAGCCTCAATTTCGTTATTTTTCCCTTCAGAGATAGCTCAGGCTTGACATGCTCTAGGACTCACTTGTTCATCTTTCTGGCAGTGCAGGGTATCTGCACAGCTCTTCTCCAGCACCATATTTCAAAGAAATCATTTTTTTCCTGTCAGCTTTCTTCACTGTCCACCTTTGACAGCCTGTACATAGCAATCGGGATACAATAATGTGGGTGAACTTGGCTTTGATCTCCAGTGACATATCCTTTCATGGGCCCTTCTATTGCTGACCTTCTGAGTCTCTGGTTTTTGGCTGCAGACTCTGTTTCAATTGATGGCATACAAAATATTTCACTTTTTAATTTCTTCATTGTCAGCATTAAACTTGTATAGTTCAGTTGCCATGATTTTCTTAATATTTAGCTGCAGTCCTGCTTTGGCACCTCCTTCTTTCACTTTCACCAGAAATCATTTCAGGTCATTGCTGCTTTCTGCCAGTAAGAAAGAGTCATCTGAATAATTTAAATTATTGCTTATTTGGCCAATTTTCACTCCTCCTCCTTCTGAATCTAGTCCAGCTTTCCATATAATATATTCTGCATACAGATTAAACAGATAAGAGGATAAAATGCACCTTTGTCTGGCACCTTTGCCCGTAGGAAACCATTCTGTCTCTCCATGTTCTGTCCTAACAGTTGCTTCTTGTAGACAGTATAGGTTACACATCAGGACATACTCACTTCTTTCAGAACAATCCATTCAAGATCCACACAGTGAAAGGCTTTATTGTAGTTTATAAAGCACAGACTGACCTTGTGCAATTCTATGGTGCACTGCAGTAGACAGTGGATATTTGCAATATGGTCTCGATTCTCTCTTCCTTTTTCAGGACCTACTTTGAACATCAGGCATTTCTTACTCCACATAAGGCAAAAGTCTTTGTTGAAACACCTTGAGTATCACTTTGCTTGCTTGAGAAATTAGAACAATAGTCCAATAGATACTCCTTGGCATATCCTTTCTTGTGGACAATATATCGAACACTTCCAGTTTGCAGATGAATTTGGTTGTTTCCAATATTTGTTGGCATATGTTTGTTAGAATTATGATAAATTCTGTCTCTGTGGCTTGAAATCAGTATTCCCTCTACTCCTGGTGATTTATATCTTCCAAGTGCTTTTAGAGCAGCTTTCACCTCACTTTCAAGAATTGCATGCTCTTCATTGTAGCATTCCTCTTCATGCCTTCAGTATACTGTTTCCACCTTCTCTATTTTCTCCTTGTTAGAGAATGTGTTTTCCAGTTAGTCTTCCAGCACTCCTAATCTAGGCTTAAACTTCGCTTTGCTTTCTCGGATTTCCTGGGAAAGATCTCTTGTTTTTCCTCTTTTGTTATTTTCTTCTATTTCTTTTCACTGGTCATTTTAATAGCTCTCGTTGTCTCTATGTGGCAGTTGCTGGAAGTTGCATTAAGGATTCTGATCCTTTCTGTCACATTTTACTTTTGCTTCTCACCTGTCCTTAGTTATTTTAAATGTTTCTTCCACCATCCATCTAGGTCTATATTTCCCTTTTTATTACAGGAATTTGCATTCTTCCCCTAATATCTCTGGTTTCCATCCACAGTTTTCCTAATAATATCTCTGGTTTCCATCCACAGTTCTCCTGATTTATGGTCAATTGAGTTTAGTAATGCAAATTTGTTCCTCATTAGGAATGTTGTTTAAGTTATATTTTGACATTAGGATTATTTTAATATTCTCTTTCAGTTTTAATGTCAAGTTTTGGCTGAGACCATACAGTTTGTCCATCTCCTCTTTGAAATAATGTAATATCTTAGATTTCTATATTGGCCATTTAGTGATTTCCACATCTACAGTTTGGTTGCTTAAAACGTGTATTTGTGACAATTTATTTAATTTGTTTGTTCGTTCGTTTAGTCATTTAGTCATGTCCGACTCTTTGTAACCCCATGGATTAGAGCACGCCATGTCCTCCTATCTTCCACTGCCTCCTGGAGTTGTGTCAAATTCATGTTGGTTGCTTCGATGACACTG